ATGAATAGAGAGTCTCTCCTGACTCAGGGGGGACAGGCCTCAGTTCAACAAGGGACACGTATATTTTTCCCATGGCGGGAATAAAAATGTGTGATAACCGTTCCTCTACATTTAATTTGTGATGGTGCTTGTATTTTGTAACAATGGCATAGCAAAACCTATACTGATCTTCCTGAGGCTCTCACACCTTGCCTCCCTGTAGTTCCTCAGGATATTTATACACGTGGTGTGGGACACCGCGCCGGGCGCTTTAATTAGAGTCGCGCTAATTAAAAGGGCCTGAGCATCGTGTGCATCAGTGCCGCTGCGCATCCCCGTGCTGAAAAAAATGGTAGCGGGGCACTTTGAACTAACGCTCATCGAATGTGTTTTATTCCAAAGTGCACCCCCGTCATTTTTTCAGCGTGGAGATGCGCGGCGACGCTGATGAACATGACGTGGAAAGCTCCCGGACTGCGGCGATTTCCATGCTAGATTTCCAGTGCGTCGGAGCAGGCTCCACACACGTGTACAGGAGCTCTCAATGCCTAGAGGCAAAATGCAATGAAAAACTTACAGCTACAGTGATGCTCTTCCAACATGAGCTGCTAAGGTTATAATCTGTTGGTGCAAAGTCACAACTGCTCACTGGCTGTCATGTAAATGTTTGAATACACTTCTTTTCATAGTAATTAACCCTGTTTCCATGCAACTGTGCAACTGTATTTATCACACAGTATAACAATGCCATCCATATATATAACTTGACAGATTTACGGCCATTAAAGCCTTTGCAAATGCTTGTTTGCTCCAGTTGCATATGCTCCCTTTCCAGTTTTTGCCATTATATTTTCAACAGATCACATTAACAAGCACAAAAAGTTGTTGCTCCAAAGCCCACAAAGTTTATCAAATTCAAGGAGCACAACCACCATTTAGAGGAATTTGATTAAAAATGAAACACTCATTATAAAGCTAGACACAATTCAATACTTTGTTTTACAGAATCTAGTGGCATACTGTGCCGGTCATGTAATCTTCAATTCATGAAACTTTCTGCAATCAATAAAGAAAAAAAAATCAGTGTTTGTTTTAATAACTATGCAATGAATAATACTAGTGATAATACTGCAGGGGGGATCCATTCAATGGTGCATCTAAAAAAGTAAGTTACTCTATATCAGAGAAAATATTACGAACTGTGAAAAACACCCAGTAATAATATTTGAAGCACCAGACAAAATGCAAGCTAATAAAACACAATTAAAGTTCATATGTTAATTATTGCACCAAATCCTTGATCAGCAGGGATCCTGGTTTTCTCTGATAAAAAAAAAATCCCCAATTTTTGGTTTAAAAAATGTAACCCAAAATCCACATTTTTCTGTTATTAAAACGAAACACCACCTATATATACGTCTATATATAGGTGGTGTTTCCTTTTAATCTCTCAAAAATGTGGATTTGGGGTTACCTTTTTTAAGTAAAAAATTGGGGATTTTTTTTAAATCAGAGAAAACCAGGATCCCTGCTGATCAGCCATTGTTTCTGCATAAGTCAAATTCTGCAAGTTTCAAAGATGATGTACATCCTAACTGCAAAACCACGAGCCACTGTGGGGAGACTTCAAAGGGGGAAAAAAGCAGCCTTATTCAGATATAAATAGTTTCAGTTTACTTCAGTTTAACACTCAAAATGATTTTTTTTTAAATTGCCAGGCCCCCGTTTCTCTTTTCTTCTCTTCCAGTTATGTACCTGGGGGGCATCTATGTGCTATCTGATATTCTACCTATTTGCTTACCAACAGAAATAAATCTCTAAGGCCCCTACCAGGGCAGCATTTAAACTGCATCTTAACTTTAACTATTGAAGCACATGCTTGAATGCTGTCCTGAATCAAGGCATTAGTGATAATACTTAAGAGTATGTTTCCACAGCAAATTGAAGGTGTGATCATCTCCTGAGCAGGCATCCTTGGGCTAGCTTTAATCTAGCTGGCACAGATAACAATAGCTCTGAAGATGCTGGAAGCAAAGCACAAGCTGGCCAGGGACCCGGGATGCACATTCTGGTTGCCAGCATGTGGCTAAGCCTGTGTTTCACCATCATGATTTCACCTGCTATAAAATTAAAGCTAGCACAAGCATACTGCCCCATGTAGCAATCATACCTTCAGTCTCCTATTCAGATGTACCCTTAATGAAAATGCATAAGTGCTATTGTGAACAGATATACTTTCCTGAATAGGGGGCTAAGCCTCAGCTCAGCCACGTTTTTATATATATTTCTGACCATAAGCAAATCAGCAGTTCCACTGGCTTTACTGGAGCTGCTCAGGCACTTAAATTTCAAGACCAAGCTTGAGTATCTTGTAGATTTTGAACCAAGAGCCCTAGTCCTTCCATGACTTTCAAGTGGGTAGATCCACTACTCACCAACCTTTATGCGCATCCTCCTTAGTACCTTCCTCTATGGGTCATTCTTCTGAAGTCCTGTTTTACTTATTGGGACTTACTTAATTGGTAGTGTCATGGTTTTCGGAGAAACTGCAAAAACTGGCAGTATCCACAAGTGCTGGGAAATATTCTACTGGCCACGATTTCCCATGAAATCAACCCAAAAAGAAAACCCAGGGGCAAATAATATGCTGTTTTAGAATCTCTCCATCCTTACCACAATACTCAGACAACACCGCAATCCTTGCAGCCACTCTCATGTGCTTGAGACTTACTGACTGTCTTTGGCAATGGCAGGACTTCTCTGCCAATCAGGGGTGAGGGGCAGAGCCACTAGGAAATGCCCAAAAATCAGCCCTTCAACACAAGCCACAAAAATGGCTTCATCTGGCCATGAGTTATATAGGTCCCTATTTATCTACCAGCAAGTAAGTTGGGTGCCTCCCAGAGTTAGGCACTACTTGGTATGAGTAAAGATGGTAGAAGGGGCCCCTCCGTAGAAGTTAAACCATCTGTTAACTTTGTATTTAAAATTACAAACAAATTGATGACACCTTTGAAGGGTTCTGATTTCCAATGAGAAAAAACAACCTATTGACCCACTGATAGCCGGACTGAAAGCCCATCAAGGTCAAGGGATTTTGAATCAAACCCTAAGGAAAAGAGTCCCTCCCTGTCAGTGTACAGAGATGTTAAATATGGTTAAACTAGGTTATTAAAAACTCTCTTTATTTTAAATGCGTGTCATAATACAGCATTAGTGCTTGAGCTATCTCAGCTAATTTTATAATTATGTCACCTGCGTTATCTTTATCTGTAAAAACAAACAAGCATGCCTCAATCCACTGACTATTTGTAGGAACTGTCTACATCTTCTCACAGGGTCTGTACTGCTTTAATGATACAGCTATAATAAGCAAAATGTTATCAGCAATTAAAAACAAAAACAAACAAACAAAAATCATTTCCAAATTCCCAAGAGTAACTCAAAAAATTCTCACCAAGATGTGTGAACAAGTTTAAATCTACAATGCACTGGTCCAAGTGCAAATGCTTTTTTAGTTGTAAATTTTCTATGAATACTAACAGTTGGGAAGCAAAGCTGATAGGACGGGGTCCTCAGGACAGGTGCTATTTGTATTACAGAATGTTTGTATATATTTGACTACATCAGATATACATAGAAGGGAAGCTAAAAGTAAACTGGAAAAGAGCTTTAAAAATGTTTCGTTTTGTGGCAGGGACTATGTGAGACCACAAATTAAACATGCTTGTCATTCTTCTTATTGCTTCCTTCTACCACCGCTAGAATACCCCTTCCTCTTTGCATGCATGCGTCTATTGTTTTAAGGAACGGCTGTGTTTTAGTAGGCAGTGCACTGGAGTAGTAAATTAGAAGCATAAATTCCATTAACTTTTAATGGGATTGGACTTCCTAACAAAGGCCTCTGAAAAGCCCACCCTAGGAAACCAGGATTCAATCCACAAAGCTTCCACCATATCCTTGAGTGACCTTGGGTAAGGCTTTTGCACGGTCTCAAACATCACAGTGGCAATTAAAGCATGAAAATGAAGGGAGTAAGTAGAAGTCTCTTTTCCATAATGTCCCCTCTCATACCACTGAACTCTCCATCAAACTTTTACTGTTATCATTTGTTTATATAAAGATATCGAATATAAGATTAGGTTCTCCCCCACCCCCCCCGAAGCAACATGGGGAAAAGGCTTGGGTTGGGGTCTCTATCTGGGCATGGAGCACATGGAAAATCCTTCCCTGTGCCCAGCCGACCAGCAGTACTGACACAGCTACATGGCCAGGTAAAGGCTGAGCTTCTGCCTGCTGTGCTTGAGGAGGGAGCAGCCCGAGCACCGTCTGACAGTAATATGGGGTGGGGAAGCAGAGACTGGAGGGGGTACAGTTGGCAGGGGGGGCAGGAAGGCTGCAGGGGGAAGCGGGCAGAAGGCAAGGGGGCCACCTGACCCCTCTCCCCCAATCTCTGCTTCTCCTGCTATAGCAGCAGGGAAAGGGAATTAAGAAAACCCTCCAATACTTATATTATACAAATTTATACATTTTCCATATAGAAAATCTAATTATTGGGAGGTCATCATATATTCAGGGCCGTCTTATATTTGAGTAATTATGGTAATAATCTTCCACTATAAATCTCACATTTATTGTTACCTAGCTTCTTCTAGCACTGCCCCCATCACCCGGTGTTTCTCTTCATGTTTGATATCTTCATTTATGTCAGTCCCACCAAAGATGATTCCAAATGGGATGCTACTACCTGAAAAATAAAAATACAAGAGACCAGGAGGCTCTCTACATGTTATCCAATAAGTTAAGGACTCAAAAGAAACTAGTACTGAACAGCATTGGTGACAAAGAGATGTTGTGTCTTTGACAGTCTACCACCAATCCAAGCTATACTTCTAGTCTTGTGGCCATAGTCCTTTGAAAGTGATACCTGGATAATTTTGAATTTTCATGGATGTCGCACTGAAAAATCATGCATGCTAGTGTATTATCTATCAGGTTTTCTTAAGCCCTGAACATACTCAATTAAAATGTGTTGCAACAGTACAGAGCTTTGCATATCTCTTTTTTTGGGGACCAACATGGCTACAGCATAGATCTCTGAAACATGGAAAATCCCATATTTCAGCATGGAATACCGGAAAAGTAAACCTCATTGCTAACCTAGAAAGTAGGGTTTTTCACCTTCCCATCTGACTCTGATATCAAACACCTCCAAGCCAGCCTAATCTGCACATGACAGAGCAACATGCTCACAAAAGGACTCTGAGATACCCAGGGAATAAACTCTCACCCTCTACCTCCCCTGTGCAAAATGAAGTTTCTTTCTACCTAGGAAGACTTTTACTATCTTTGAATTCTCCCCAGCCTGAAGAAGGGTGTATGTGCCTGAAGGCTTGCAATGAAAGGAATTTTTTTGCTACTATTTAGTTGGTTTAATAAAAAAAAATATCGCCTCTGACCCAGGAGCTTTGCAATAGAACAGCGATTGGAACAGTTTCCATATTGAACAACCCTCCCAGTGTCCTACAAGTATTGATTGTACTGCAACATCTAAGAAATGGCCATTAGTTCAAGTAAGGCAGAACAGGAAGTCTGCGACAGCAGTGTTTCTCAACTGGTGGGATGTGTCCCACTG